TTTTAGGAAATCTCGTACTAAATAGAAAAATGTCGATAAATTCAATTACTCGCATTCTTTAAGCAAGCTTTTTAGGTGGTTCTTAAAATTAATCTTAAATTGTCTCCAAACAAATATTAATCTTAGTTTCCTAGGTCCACATCTCTCACTAAACCTTAGAACCCGTTTGAATTCGTCTCTTCGTGCTAAATTTGAACCAAGTTTTAAAACTAGTCCTTAATTGAATCTTGAAATAAGTTTGTGAATAAGTCTTGATACAAACATTTCACTGAGTCTCTAAAACAAGTCTCAAATCAATTTTTGAAACAAATTTTAAACTAATTATAAGTCTTAAAATTTGACTTACGTAAGTCCTTAACGGAGATCAAGAAAAAGTTCTGAAGCAGGTATCAAACCAATTTCTTCTAATAGTCTCAGTACTTCTCCCCGATCAGTGTTCTTTAAGGTAGCTCCCTTGTCTACTGCTCTAGTCAAGTAGGAGAGATTCACTTGTGTATGCATACGTAGGTATATACGTACATCAGTGTTGGTATTCTGTTACAGTTTGTCAATTATAACCATGAAGCTGATTTTCACGTCTTTCTTGGCAAATATCTTTGGAAAATGCCCCATTACCAGCATTTTACATGACAAGATTGAGGAGAACAGAGATTTTTTTACAAGTACATCATAGTTTGTCTGCTCTGGTTTTTTATTGTGAGTTGAGAAATTCCTGTAAAGCTGATATTTTGATGCTCTGCCATATAAGCTCGTATCAAAGGTACAACTTTAAGCTGAAATATCTCGAAATTTTGCTCCACTTGAGGTATAAACAAGGACACCGTTGGATTCAGTTAATCAAAATCTATTAAATGAAATATGTTTGGTAGATTTTCGCACGGGAGATACCTTAAACAAATTGTGTAACATATTTATTACACGATTTACATTGGTAAGCGAACTTAAGCTTGTTGACTATAGTATCCCCAAGTATAGGTTATGATTTGTGCGATGCACTTTAGTAAAGCATAACCTTAACAGATTAGAAACTACTTAAGAAATTATGATTATTGATCATACAAGTAACCTTGTCGCTTTTAAAATGAAAAGTGGTAGGATTCATAACAGGTGTTTGACATGGAACATTTTACCTCAGCAGTAAAATATTATATTACTGTGCTGTCATAGTCGGTAATACTATTCAGAGATAATTGTATCAATCATTGAGGCTTAGCAATTTTCAAATGATGAAGGTTATGTCTGGGCTGGCATTAAAAAGTGAATTTACTGGGCATTAAAAGTCTCGATGGATTATAGACTATGCAATGAGTTTTTCGATTCCCTTCATTTGCTAGGTGTAAAGATTATGGCGATCACGATACCTTTAAGTATCATAAAATCCTTGATAAAAAACAAATCGAAGCGTACAATAAAATAAACGAAAATTAGTTAGTTTAATTATGCAAATTCCATGTGGTTTAGAATAAATACGATTTAGGGGAACTATTTGTATTTCTTAGTTTTTTTAAAGCCCTTAAACTTTCTACATTTTTACTATTCGAGTACCATCTAAAACCAATGTACGGACACATAGCAAATATGATAACATTTTAATGGATTTCATATAATGCTTAAGTTCATAGTATACGAAGTTTACTATATCATTACTATATAAATAAGTTTAAATATTCATCTATTTTAAATATTGTAGGGTACTTTTGTAAAAGACTCATTGATGAAACATCTACAAAGAAAAAAAGGAATAATTAAGAAGAAGTGTAACTACGAGCGAGAAAACAAAGATGCAAACAACTACCACACAATGAATATTAAATAAGTTTGAGCGTAAACATTAGTTCCATACATTTTTGCTGTTCGGGAATTTTTTGTACAAAATAGAAATTGTAATTAGTCAAACAAAAATGCTCTCTTTCAGTAGTATTGCTCTTTTAACTCTTTCAATTTTCATCCTGAATGCAACGGTAGACGGAACTATATAATTTTTGTGAAACTTATTAATTTTCTTGTCTTTTGTAATTTCATCTAATGGCTAAACTACTTTATTGTTAAGAGATACATTTAACAGACTTGGGCAAAGCCATATTTATTATTTAAAAAAAAAGAGACTACTTTACTTGGAAAAAATAACTGTTTTATTGCTAAAATACAATTTTTTTCAAAACAAAGTTATAATTTCTTGAAAAAAAAGTTCAATAAACAAAATCTTACTTACAGTATTGGAAATCATTAAAACCAATACTAATGGTGTTTTAATTAAAATATTTCAAATACATTAAATGAATTTAAAAAAAACCTAAATACTTTATTTAAAATACAACATTTCAAATAAAATGTTTTAAATACAAAAAACTTGAAATACAATTATATTTGGTCAATGGATTTCAAATAATATATTTGAAATACAAATATATTTAATAAAGGTATTTTAATTTATTTAATGAAATACATAAACATCATAAATAATTTACTTAAAATACAATTGTATTTCAAATTGTTCCTTTAAAATACTTAATCAGTTAGTTGTATTTCAAATACTTAAACTAAATACTTGACTAAATATATTTGTATTTGATAAAGTAATTAAAATACTTAACTGCGGGAGTGGTATTGGCTCGGTGGTTAGCGTGCTTGAAACTGATGCAACGCCGTTCTGGAGGTCGTAGGTTCGGTTCCCGGTGAGTGCAGATTTTTTCGAAAACTGTCATTACCGGATATAGTTCCTATGCAACTCCGGCGGTTTTGGGTGGATTTTTCTGTGAAATTTTCCTACAGAGTTATTCCAGGGTTTTTACCTTGACCCACAGGTCTTCAGGCCTGGGTGAATGAGAAACAGTTTTTAGGGCTATAGGTAGGAATTAGCGGTTCGCGATGCCAGACGACGGGCAGGGATCGCGCCGACCTTTACCGGCGAGGAGTGGACGTCCTGAAATACGGAGTTCTTCTCCACGGAAAGGTCACACAGAAGAGGACCCAATGCACTATTGGTGCAGTGAGTGTAAGCGCAACTGGCAAGGTGTCTCACCAGAGATAATGACACTTGTGCCCCTGGTATGAATTCGTATGATATCACCTAAAAGTTAAAGTTTGGAAATGGGTGCGGCAATACACCCCCACACATAGGTGGTGAGTAGGTAGCCCTGGCGAGTAGGCCAATACGCTGTCACGGTAACTCGGTTAAAAAAAAATTGAAAAAAAATTTTTTTTAACTAAGCAAATACTAGTATAATTCTTCAACGTGTTTGAGTTGAAAACATAGTTGCTCTCAACGCATTGCGTTACCACAAAATTCAAAATTTATTTTTGTCTTATTCTATGGCCATACTTAAATACCAAAATAGTTTAAATACTTTATTTCAAATAAAAATAATAAACATTCTTTAAAAACATTTTTAGTTATTAGAATATTTTATTTCCAATAAAATATTTCTTTAAGTATTTAGTTTGAACTACTGTTTTAAAGATCAATATAAATACAGCATTTAAAGATATTTAATTCAAATAAAGTAATTAAGTATTTAGATAACTTGAATTAAAGCTGAAATAAAATGTTTCAGAGTATTTCAACTCTATCAAATACTGCCATTACTCAATACCGATAGAGAATATCCAAGCAAACAACAGTCGTGTAATTGACCTGTGTAATCAGAGTCATTAAACAAACTTTACACTTTAAGTGTACACCCCAAGCTAATCAGCGATCGATGAGCTATCGGTTAAGCTTATTGTAAGCGATTTAACGCATAATGTATGCCATTTAAACTACGTTGGATACTTAATGACTACGGCTTTGATCATGCAGTAAAAGTACTTGTCAGGTTTAGAATGTAAATTCAAACAAAACTGCGAGATGTATACGTATTTGCTTACATCATGTCAAAACACAAAAAAATACTCTAATGTTGTTTTGTTCCAAATTTATGGAAAATAATTAAAGTACATCGACATAAATCCAACGAGCATATAATATCATATCACTTGTACGTGTTTCCACTTGAGTTATAACATATCTGTGTCAGAGTCTATTTCGAAAGAGTAAGTTGTTAGCAGCTATTTCGAAGTATGACTTGGAGCAGATAAGTTTTTTCTGAAGATTTCTCATATATATGTCTCCTAGGCGACGAATGTTCTCCTGAAGGAAGTCTTTAATATCAAAGTCCAAAAGACGTTTTTCAGGTGGATATTCATCGCCTAGAAGACATCTACAATGAATCATGAAACAAAATGTTTGCTGCGTTATCTGCATAGAATAATACGGTGTTCCAACTAGTTGCAGATCGAACTTGCAGTGAGATCTGGGAGACTAAAAGATTGGACAATTTCAAGTATTCATTTGATATAGTTACAAGGATGCAAAGTCATACACGTTAAAGTCATCATTAGATGAGCATTTCCATGTGACCATGTACGTCTTTCGGTTATCATTTTCATTTTCTTATCTCAAATCCTCATCACTTTTAAACGGAGACTTGAAGTCACAATGTTTTTTTTCTCTTTTGTTTTCAAAATGATGAGGTCTAGGGTCGTAGATTTTAATGTTACTGCATAAAAAAAATGTTAACATCCACCCCCATACCGAGGAAACTGTACTTCATTTTTCCTTAAACTATGAAAAGCTGAAACTATCAGGTAGTACTATCGTATTAGAACGTGTAAGAGTACGTGCGCGTGCACAAATGACAGAGCGACGAAGAGAAAAGCTAAACCACCTGGAGGACGATCGGATGGACGGATGGACGGGCATGTGGCGCATTCATCGGCGATCAATAGAGTGCAGTTTCACAGAGCCATTGCAGTCAACTTTGGAGCGTTTCACGTGCATCGTGAGCGTTCCAATTCGATTCCGTATCCGTTACAGAAAGTGAATGCACGCATGAAAGCACTGCTGCAGGGTGTGTCCCGTCCCACCTGGATGTTGGGGAGTACAGTTGGATGGGTCTTTTTTGACGAAGCTGCATTCTCCGTTCGACGTGCGTATGGTTTCATCACGTGTCCATCCCAACCTGACTACTTTCTTGGACTGTTTCAACTGATGTGCACACATTGGGAACTTTGACATCTTTGACTCGTAAACTCTTTAGTAAACTAGAAATAATGCGTACAATTTTTTTTGAAAATGGCTAGTCTGCGTTGATTGTGTATATTATATTAAGGTGCGGGTGATTGACCAGGAAAAAAGTATGGTTACATAAAAAAATGACCTACTATTTGGTTAGTTACTAAAAACTACTCTTTTAAAGCACTATGAGGAAATAAAAACCTCATTTACGTAAATTTGAAAGTATATCATGCGAGTTTGTGCAGTAATGTATTTTTCCAGGTCGTGTCATTGAGTTGCTGTTTAGCTAGCTGTTACCAACTACCCCCTCATAAAATTCACATGTTTCTTTGTCCACATATGGAGTTGATACAAACTCAGTATGCCCAAAACGGTTTCACAAGGATATCCCTTAAAATATATCTTGAAACTATATTAGAGCCCAAGTAAACACAAAATCTGTCCGAAAACTCAAATTTTTGAGTAAACTGCAACTCCATTGGGAAATGGGATTTCATAGTTACACATTTTTTAACACCGCTACTTATTCAACCAAGCATTGGTTCAGCGCATGAAAACGTTATCTAATTGATTTGTTGGTTCGATCAAGTTTCGTAGCACCTGTAGAAGCTCTGTGCTATCGCCATGAGCTCGAATCGGCTAATGAACTGGACAATGTTTACGTGCAGTGAGGGAACACTTTGGAATAACTAACTAAATTTTAAATAAAATCTCGTTTCCCAAGTATGGCAAGTATTTTCATTTATGGAAAGCAAGACTTTAGAGTTGTAATATCGTTAAAATCTCCTTGCATCACACTATAAACGATCTCAAAATGATTCTGTATACAGATAGTATCGATCAATTGTTATGGAAAAAAAAAAAAAAAGAAATACTCAGCTGCTATGTTTTATCGAAATCACAGAGCGACTAATAAATAATGAAAATCAGGGGAATATTCAGTAAGCGCGTCAAGCAGTGTCACACCATCGAAATTCGCGTTTAATTGTCCGAATCTCCCATGCGTACTTTCATTAGCGTGAAATTTAACATACGTCGCACGCATGCATCAACACGCACGCACGCATACACATTTACAGACGTACAATCGTAAAATGACACCGACACATCTGCACGTGCAGATAATGTTATTGGAGCCGATAACGCGCGATTGTCCGTAAACTGTACATGTACCCGCATCGCGCGCCGTACATGTGTGTACCGATGTACACATGGAGGAGGACCGAAAATAGCATTACCACGTGACGTTTGGCGAAAAGCCGCACATCGACCACCGCGTTTGTACGTGCACGGGCTGGAGCGTCGAGGGAGAAAGAAGCGCGGGGTAAATGAGCGTATAATCGAGTTCGAGCGCCCCACGTGAACCTACGTGTATTATGATGAGAACGGCTGGGATTTTATTGGCAAGTTACACGGAGTACTGAATGAGTGTTGAAAGATCCGTTTTTTTAAAAGTTTTTCACAGAAATATTGATGAAAAACAGTAACAAAACATGCAAACTGTAAGAATCACTGTACTTACGATCAAAGACAACGTTCAGCACATTACAAATTGTTGTACAAACTGTTAATCACATTGGATTTGTAGTGATAAGTTCCTGCACAATAGAATGATACAAGTTCATTGTTTTAGCTTAGTAGTTTTCAGATATCATTTTATCAAAGGGAAAACTGATTTATCATTCACATATTCTGTATAACAATAAACTAGTTACATAATTTTTGAAGTAGTTTAATGAATTTCAGTAATTTTTTATGAAAAAAAAAAACACATTTGGACGCTGCCAATATAGTCAGATAGATCACATTTATTTTATAAATTTGACGTTACGTAGATCCATGTCAATCCATCTAGAATTGTACCAAAAAAATAAAAAATAAAAAAATTATAAGACTGATACGTATTTCTAAAATGTTCGCGAGAGTCAAACTCAGCATAATATCTATAGCTTATAACGACATTTACAAGAGGTGCACTCTTACCCACGTCACGGTAAAAATTATTAATGTGCACCAAGAAACGTGGACAAACTACTAAACTAAGTGCAATAAACTTTTAGTACTGGAAATATTTTGATACGGATCAAAAAGTTATCCCACATAAAGTTTTGGATTAAGGTATCTGTGGTTCAAAAGTAACAATTTATATTTATCATTTCATGATATTAGTTAATAATCCAAAAAACTTCTCACGAATCTGTTGGAAAGTTGTTGTAACTAATAATTTTTGTTTTAAATTGATACACGTATTTGATGAAAAGTTTTTTCAAAGAATACCAGTTTTTTTAAAGAAAATCAGGATAAACACACAAAGTTTTATTCTATGGTATTTTGAAGAAACAATATATTTCTAACAGAGGGTTAACCATTGGAAAGTAAAATTTCCTTTCTAACCTATTGAGACATTATCGGCCGAGGACAGTAAAAGAGGCAGTATGATTCGGATTCTTTTTTAAGAAATACAAGATTAGATCACAAAAACAATTTTTTGATTCAAAATTTCATATTCCAAAATCAAGTCCTTACTAATTCTTAATAAAAACGGCTCGAAAATACGTTTACGAAGTTTTACTAGTTTGTTATTCTCGGCTTGCATTTATTACATTGACTGCATTAAGGTGCCTTATTACAACATAAAAATACTTGAAGGTATGAATAAAGCTTGCAGGATACACACCTAAATGTTAACTGAATCATCTCTTGTACTATTGACACACGAAACAGTCGAGGAAATGATAATTTTTTTTTACTATTTGAAGGTGGTTCCTTCATGAAATGATTATGAACAGAATAACATGAAACCTTGAGGAATTATTTATTAAGTTATAATACCCTACCTCTCCAAATTCAAGAGTAGGCTGACGAATATATACGCAAGGAAATGATAAATAAAAGGTAAGTTCTAAGCATGTGTTCTTATGGCAACTAAGCATTTCTTTACTGAAAGTTAAAGCCTAGTTGTATATTTACTGAACATAATGAAGTAAAAAACTGACACAATTTAACTGATACAATACGAAATTGCCATCTCGAAATACATAAATGTTCCCGGACTTAATCAAAAGATATTAAAATAAACACAGGCATACATTTTCGTATCCTACGTCGAAATTATGTACGCAAGAATCAACTGCTATTTTGAGGTTAAGCGCCAATTTTACACAATCATTCCTACGAACATTTATATCGGAAAATCATAATCTAAAATATTGGACCAGTACTTCATTTAACTCAATAAACATTTTTTACAAATAGTCGCTTGAAATTCAAGCAACATTTATAAATATCAACTTGATAGTAGCACCTTTGAATCCGGCACCAGACCCCTACGCTTGATATGATATCAGACGCATTAGCCACGTTAAGGAGCACGTAGAAAAAATTAGTTATAACTCAAACATTGCCTAAGATGTATTTTCGCATTAACTATCGATTGCAACTAGTTTACACCTTATCACAGCAGGGGTTGTATAAATTTTCTCGTCTCTTAGCTTTCTGTTCTTCATTGAAATCAATACATCATATGTCATATTCACAGCAATTTTACATATCTCATCAAAAATGCTGCAAACAAAATGCCAAAGAAACCTACAGAAAAATCTACATGTAATCTTACAGGAGAGTTGATAACTTTTCAGTTTTTTGTGCAAGTCTTTCCATATATTTCTGCGCAGGTTGTCAACAAATAAGTTTCTGCAAGAGTAAATAAACACGAAACACGAAAAATAGGTCAGGGTTTAAGTCCATCCTCTTTTTTTGTATAGTCAAATATCATTCTGTTAATATATCCATGCAGGGTAGGCCAATGCCTGGTCTGCTTGTACCCATGTACAAGACGGAAGTTCTTCTGAGCTTTTATTGCCGCTCACGAATAAAACAAGAATATAGGTTTCAAAAAAAATCCAATAGATAATAATATTTCTCAGACTCAATTTTTTTGTTCAATTAAACCAGTGGACAGTGGGTGCTTGGGTACCCAAGTAAAAAGTTATACTTCTATAAAATTATATGGCAAATAGTATAATTATAAATATAAATATACCTCGTATGAAACGATATTATGTACAAAGGTGGTGTAATTATCGTTGGAATGAGTATACCTACGTTAGTTGGGTGTGGTTTCAATAAATATTCTGATATTTAATAACTGAAACATTATAAACAATACATTATGGTACAATATAATATAAACAATATGGAGGCTGGCCAATACAATACTGTTCACTTTCATCAAATCTTCCAATGGTTTCAAAAAATCTTCCTAAGAAAATAAGAAATTCCCTTAAAAAATAGCAGATCATTCAACTGTACCCTTTTTCCCATGTTTAATTTGAAGAATTTTTAATTTAACATGTAACCTTATGAAAAAATCACTTTGAATTTGATTTATAAGATCTATATAAAGCTCTCATTTTTTTGTTTGTATCAAAGATTACTATTACATAAACCCGTTTCATTTTCAAATAGATCTACAATTTTTTTTTTTTTTTTCATTAAGACGAAAAACAGGGGCCAAGTATGCGTACAAGCGTGTATGTAAGTTCATCCTTATGAGAAAAATAATTTCCAGTGTTGCAGCATATATTTGCACTCCTCCCACCTCTCTGAATATTGTTCTCAATTACAAAGGAAAAATTGTGAAAAAAGAAAACGCATAGAAAGAAAATAGTAAAATTCAAAATATATGGTGTGGTGCGGTGCAATGATGTTGTGTAGTGTGGTGCGATGATGATGTTGGATGTTGGGTGGTGTAGGGGGATCGGAAGTACTTGAAGAGGGGTGAGGCGGAAGGGGAGAATCAAGCAAAATTCACTTCCGTTACACTTTTTCTCAAGGTCACCAATCTGAAGTCGTTGATTTACTCCGTAGGGCAGAACGCGCCTATATAAGTATAACTTCAAAAAGGGATGAAAAGCACCCAATAAGAACACTTCGTTTTTCTCCTAAAAAAAGCATGAACGACAGAGAGGGAGCAGCAACGAAATACGATTGATGGCATT